TTGAAGCATCAGCAGTGCTGGGAGCACAGGGACTGCTAGACGTACGATTGGACAACGCTGCCAGCTGCTGGTTTAGGACATTCTGTTCCGGGAACCAGTGTTGTCGTCTTTGCCGACGGGGGGAGACCAAGATCTTTCAGCGGGAGGGTACAGCTTGATTTTGTCCGCGGCACATTTGCATCTTGCTGCCTCCCTGGAGGGCCTCACGTTCGGTCTACTCGGTCTCCCGAGCAAGAACGACTCTTTTATTGTTTTTATGTTTGCCCGGGATACCTCGGCCTGTTTCACGGCCGGGAGGGAGCCCCTGGTACATGTACATGGGTTATCGTCACCACGGTTCTGCAAGCGGTTTTTCTTTTCGTTCATCGTGCGTGGTTGTTCTAGCCTGTGTTTGTGGTGTGTGGTTTCGGCACACCTGTGAAAACGAGATCGGTAATCATTACAACCGATTCGAGTTAGTTGTGCCGAAGATGATGGTACGGAGCACAAGTCAAAAGGACATGTGCAGAAGACGCACTTCAAGTGCAAAGGAGCTCACTGTCGCTCCGTCGGTGCACGCAACTCCCAGATCATACACAGAGTCCGGACCCATAAGAGAAGGGTAAGTCCCCCACGCGCATGACACCACCTACGATGTCGAATCGAACGAAATTCACTCAACATTTCCACTCATACCAAACCCGCAGGCTCTCTCTGAAGAGATGCAATCTCAAAACTACCGACACGAAAGAATCATATTTGGAAATGCTCTGAAGCCAAATGAACACCATTATTAGGACGGCGCGAAAAGAAATACGGGCAGCCCTCCCTCCTGTTCGTTGGTATCCTCTTCCTCCTCCTGCTGTTGTTGTTCGAGCTTGTCCACTGCTTCTCCTCCGTCGTCGGGATGATCCTCGATGGCGTCCTCGTCCTACCCCTCGTCCTCTTGTTGTTCGGGGTCGTCTCCGTCGTAATTCGTCGTCGTCGCCTTTGCGGTCGATGGCGACAAGGGTGTTCGGCAGTCATGTCGTCGGCAGCGTCGGCGTCGGTGTCATCATGGGCAGAAGGGCAAGGGGTAGGACCTTGCGTTTCTTGCTCTTGGATTTGGGGGAAGATTTGCTTCTGGGGGGCTGTCGGCCCTAATGAACAAATGATAAATAGAGCCTTAGCAACCCACAGGTGCATCACATGCGGAGCGTTTTCCTGCTTTGCGGCATTTATCTTAGTTTCCAGCTCTTGAATGTATATGCGTAAACGCCTTAGTGCCAAGTTTGTCTCGAGCCAGCCCACGGGGGATGACGAGAAAAATTACAACGGAACGGTGAAACGTGCAACCTTCACTTAGTGATCACCAGCATTGTATCACTGTTTACCTTGCAGCGCTACAGTATCAGCAAACGCACTTTTGCATGTACCCCGAGACCCCCAATAAGACGATGTCCCTTAGCAACTTGACGGTCGTCGCTTCAGAATAACCCTTGGGTGGGGGGGATTGTCGGGAGAAAATATTCCATTCCATGTTTTTCTCGAACCGTTGTCGACCTTCACGTCATTGACCACGCATATCTCTGTGTACTTACTAAATAGGATATGAGCATCGTGCTGATACCCACCAACGGACGTGTTACGGAGGGGTGGGGCAAGGTTTGGATTGGTTGCGGGGCTTAGCGATACATGAGGTTCCGCCTCCTGTGGCAAGGGTCGCGGAAAGGGGATAGGTAGATGGTGTCCGGTACGGGCTTGTGGTTGTCATTGAGTCGGTCGATGACGTAGGGGTCGGAGGAGAGAGCAACGACATGGCAGCCCCAACGACCCTGAACGCCTCACTTGTTCTATTCCACTGCCGCGACAAAGGGGTTGTTAATCAAGTAGTAGGCACGGGATTTCTGGTGGCTAACGCTACCAATTCCTCTACATCTCTACAGAGCGAGAGCTCTTCGAGAGCCTGCACGACGGAAAACAAAGTACAAGGAAAGAGGCAGAGTTATGGCGTAACCCGTGACCATGGATGTTGGTCAGGACGACGACGTGGGGCAAGTCTTCAACGTAGGGATGGTAAATGGTTTTCAATGGTGCACGTAGATCGCACGTAAAATGTAGATAAAAGAGGAGGTAGGAACATTCATATCACAAAGGTAGAGATGTAGCAAAGGGGATTGCGGTTGTAGGTGGGTTGGGTGTAATGAAAGAAAAGACATTGAAAATGGCAGGAGCAATATATGTAAGGGGTGGAGGTGGTGTACAGGGAGAGAAAGAATAATATAACGGAAAGGACGAAAGTTGCGCGTACAAGCGAGCAATGGTACACACTTTGGTGCCAACGGAGATGGCGCAAGGGATCTCAATGCCATCCTCGGTGTGTGGACCTCAGTCAACGGCCATGTGTGGTTGGATGACCGTGAAGAAGGTCGGAATCATGCCGTCTTCATGGTGGAGATGAGGTGTCATCTTGTTGTTGTAGGTAATGGGGAGATCGTTTGAGGGGTTGTGAGCAGCATCGCAAGGTGGCGAACCCTTGTCGTACTTCATCCGGATGATCGGGCCGGAGGCGATGAAGAGTACCACCAGAGGGAAGACGCCCTCCGGAATCTGCGGCGCTTAAATGTTCGCCGCCTTGCGATGCTACTCGCAACCCCTCAACCGATCTCCCCATTACCTACAACGACCAGGTGCCACCTCATCTCCGCCATGAAAAATGACATGACCACTCCTGCGTCCGGTAGCGAATAGCAAACGGTTGAACGGTTGTATGAAAAATGTTACTAGGTTGGAGTACGTATAGCAAAAGGAGTTGTTCATGGCGAAGAAAAATGTCAACGCATGCATTTCTGCGCATACGCGCAGCAGGGAATGACCCTGGCACAAATGAACGGTCGAAACAATGAAAAACACCAAACCACGCATGATATTTCGGTACTACTGCACACACATGTCCGGCGGTGACAAAGTAAGACGGGTGGTCAAAGTGTCGTAAAATCGCCATGGCTCGACGTATCACGATTTTTCGCCATCTTTAATGTGGAATGCACCGTGTATACTCGTGTGGTTGTTTTTTGCCGCGTTAGGCCTCGTGTGGGAAGCTAGTGGCCTTACCCTCGCGAGTGCTGTATACAGTGTATACCATGCATGCCGGGGTGTATGATGGAGTGTGCTACTGCTGGCCTCGCGTTGTTACTGAGTAATACACTTCACACGCGGCGGGCATCTGCGCGCTGCCAAAGCTGAAGGAAGGGGTGGAGTGATATGCGTAACCAAGATGCCTTCGCGGCAATGCCGTATTGTGCTGTGTAGGGTATTGGCTGCTGATTGCACTGATTGACTGATTGCTACTGCTGACGGACCTCCTCCAGTGTACCTTTCCTGCTGGACTGCCGTTCTCTACGTCGCCTAATGCGGTGAGGACGGCCATGGAATCGTGGTCTATTCATGATCGGGACGGTGCACATATCCGCCAAGACTCAACCCATAGTCACACAACAACTACACTATAGCAGTATCATGGTCTGTACATGGTCGGGACGGTACTCAAATCCGCCAACTCAACTTACAGTCATACAGCAACTACAGCAGTATCATGGTCTGTACATGCTCGGGATATCCGCCAACTCAACTCACAGTCATACAACAACTACAGCAGTACTCACATCCGCCGAAGACTCTGCGGCCAAGTCAGACATCAACCTAAAAAAACGTAAAAAAACAGCAATGACAGTAGTATCTTTTCAAGTAAAACGACGATCGATGGTCGACGGTCGACGATCGACGACGATGCTCTGCGAGTTTTTATTTAAGGTAGTATATCCGTGGTCGGACCATACGTAATATGGGGACGGACGGCTAACTACGAACGCCTCGAATGTATCAACCGCATAAACGCACATGCATGATGACTCGTCGTACTTGCAGAAGCCCAGCTATCCTGCCCGCTGGAACCCGCTGCCGTCCATACCGTCTATCGACTCGTCGCTTTCATCGCTGCTCGCCGAATGCTTCTCCCAAACGTCTGCGAAATCATCCAAAAGAGAAAATTCAGCCGACGACACAAAAAATCGAGTGTTTGAGAAAAGGGCGTTGATGCTGTACAACAAGGCCACGTCTCAGCAACGCGTGCGGGGGCTGGGGTCTCGCTGTTCGCTGCGGGCGAAAAACCCGTGGCGACAGCTCCAAGGTCTGGAGAACTGTTGCAAATGAAAACCCCACGCGGTGCCAGTACTGTAGCGTTGGACAGGAACGCAGTTCGTTCGCATACCTGTATCCCGCCTCTGTTCAGGCGTGCACGGATGACGACGCATCTACGAACACGTATACCGGCGCAGCAGTGGGTTCATACACAACGCGACCATTCCTCCAACAGCCGGGGAATCCAGGGGACGGTGTTTTCACGGCATACATTGTTTTTTCTCGTTACTTGTTCCTTCTCCTCGAGCTCTTCTGGGACACTGAAAGCGGCGGGCTACTTGCTGGAGGTTGTCACGTACACAACTGTTCCGGCAACACGAAACCGAACCCAACCGCCTTCCCCTCACCGCAACCCGACCCTGGCTCCCGCTTATCTTCCTCGTCGGGCAGTGCCGTCTCTCAGCCAGCTTCGACGTGTATTTCCTCGTCGTCTACCCCCCCCTGTCCCCTGCGGGCGCCCCCTATCTCTCTGCCAGCTCCCTCAAGAGGGTATGAACGCCTTTTGGATGCTGGACCCTCACCCCCCCCCTCTCCTGAGTGCGAGTTTCCTCCTCGCCATCCGGTGTGGTCTCTCGGCCGCCATCTCCGGGTGTTTGTTCATCGTGCCCCCCATCTCCCCCGGCGGGCTCTTCCCCGCCAGCTTCGTCAAAAGAGAATCCAATATCCGCCCGAATTGTGGTCTCATCTCCCTCCTCAATTTGTTCCCGTGAACGCCGCAGGAAAAGGCGGACCCCCAGCGCTGCTCGGTCCGTGAACCATACGAAGTTTCAGACGAGGACGGGGTGTCGTCGATGAAAAAGTATCGAAAAATGCTTGCGTATTTTTGACATCGCCTACTGTGACCATGGGAGGATGTTGCAACGCGGATGCGCACGTAGTCTGTCGGCTCCGCCGGGTAACAATAATTCACACAGAACGACCACCCCGGTGGTGCTGGTGGCGTGCCTTCCGACCAGGGCCAATCGATGCGAGCTCCTTGACAAGGGTGAGGGGGTGGGGATTCACTGCAGCTACAGCAACAAACTCCTATCACACCCACCAATACAGTAGGGGTCCCGGTTTAGTGACGGTTGAAAAGTGACGGTTGCCGTTACAGTGCCCGGTGTTTTCGGCTNCGACCAGGGCCAATCGATGCGAGCTCCTTGACAAGGGTGAGGGGGTGGGGATTCACTGCAGCTACAGCAACAAACTCGTATCACACCCACCAATACAGTAGGGGTCCCGGTTTAGTGCCGGTTGAAAAGTGACGGTTGCCGTTACAGTGCCCGGTGTTTTCGGCTCACACACTGGAAAACCAAGTCGTTCTGTACTTAGAATATTCATGTAGAGTATGAGACATTAAGTGAAAGTTTTCTGAGGTACATCTGCAATTGTCGGAAGGCAAAAATAAATAAATAAATAATAAAATAGTGCCGGTGTCCAGTTAAGGCCGGTGAAATTTCGGCGCACATCCCGGCACTAAATAGGGACCTCTACTGTACCACGTACCGGGATGCTGCACAACACCAACATTAAGATACAAATTTTAATGGCTAGGTTAGGACATCGCGCAGGTTGGCGTGAACGGTGGAGCATGTGGTTCAATGCCGAACAAACAACTGGGAAGGGGAAGTTTGGTGTCTAATGCACACCCACACCTTTCCGTCTGCTGGATACACAACGCATTGCACCTACCGTGTTTCATTTTTTTCCGTTGTCAACTGCCGTACTAGACTTGAGCAAGCAAGGGCAAGACCTACTCTGCCATTATTGCTGTGAGTGGGCGGTGAACATGCAAACTCCGTGCACCCAAGGGGTCAACGTGGAGTGTCTCAAACTCAAAAAAAAAGAAAAAAACAGACGCGCGGCCTTGTACAGTGCTGTTGCAAAACCAAACTGCAACATAGGCCGACCCTTCTACACCAGATCCACTTCGTTCTTGAGTGCGAAAACCCATTCCGTCCGCAGGCAGGGGGCGCTAACAACTCTTCTTGTGGTCGCGTACATCGTATACAATGTGTGCCATTGATTGCACAAGATATCACACCCCCTGGACCAAATTTCGAAACCCGAATATTCCTTAAGCAAAACAACATGATGGCGCCGAAAATGGCGGCGCTGGAAACGGCTCGCCGAGAGCTTTCTGAAGACNAGGGCAAGACCTACTCTGCCATTATTGCTGTGAGTGGGCGGTGAACATGCGAACTCCGTGCACCCAAGGGGTCAACGTGGAGTGTCTCAAATTAAAAAAAAAGAAAAAAACAGACGCGCGGTCTTGTACAGTGCTGTTGCAAAACCAAACTGCAACATAGGCCGACCCTTCTACACCAGATCCACTTCGTTCTTGAGTGCGAAAACCCATTCCGTCCGCAGGCAGGGGGCGCTAACAACTCTTCTTGTGGTCGCGTACATCGTATACAATGTGTGCTATTGATTGCACAAGATATCACACCCCCTGGACTAAATTTCGAAACCCGAATATTCCTAAAGCAAAACATGATGGCGCCGAAAATGGCGGCGCTGAAACGGCTCGCCGAGAGCTTTCTGAAGATGTATCACTGGTTTTATGTACAATGTTCCATCCTTTTCGTGGTGGAGTACTCGAGCTTTGAACATCGGTGCAGGGGGTGCGGAATCTGGTGTCACCAACTGGTACACACAGAACACCGCATAGAAGCATGTTGGCGCCGACACACACGCTCCAAACTGCTCTGCCTACCTTGCATCGCTACAGCAGCAATAGCTCCGGTAGCCAAGCGTTGGCTTCGACCACGAAGACTCCCCCCTTCGCAGAGAGGGGCACAGGCGAGCAGCTTGATCTCAGAGGCAGAGTGTCTTCGTGCAGCGCACCGGCCAAGTTCAACCATGACGTGTCCTTTGAAGGCCACACTTTAGATGGCCAGATTATAGTGAAACCGTAGACACTTTCACCCCAAAGCACTGTCAATGGGTACTCACACACCTGCTCCACCGTGCGCTAGCCTCCTTAGTTGGTATTACGTTCGGCCTAGATGAGCCATCCGGCTATCCGTGACCGTATTCACCAGGTACACTACTGCTGTAGGACCAACGTTGGTGAGTTCGATCTTCATCTTCAGCAGCAGTTATGTTTTCGTATGCATGTCCCCTGCTGTTGTCAAGGAGGCGTCCACCCGCCATAAAAAAAGCGCGGGAACGTTGTACCATCCACGTGTGCGGAGTGCGAACACTGCTCTGCTGCTGTTCAACACTGCTGTTTGATCGATTCTTCGAGCTGGACTCATACACGCATCATGAGCAACAACGGCCAGGGCCAAACGGCGGTGGGTCAACATCAGGGTCCTCCGCTGGCACTGGCCCAGCTGGCGCCGCACGCCCCGCCCCCGCAGCAAGGAGAAGAAGCAGGACCAGGACCAGAAGGAGCAGGAAATGGTCAGGGGGGTTGGGGAGGAGCGGCGGGCGTCGTAGCCGCCCAAGACGCTGCAGCAGTGCCAGCAGGCCACCAGAATCCTGGTGGAGCATGATTGTAACAAGTGAGAGAGAGAGAGTCGTCCTTGACTCCCCTAAATATTGTTTCAAAACGCGGGAAAAAATTTCATCTTTTTTTTCCTTGTTCTTGATGTGCATAACCCATTTTTCATGTGCAAGCCAACGTAGCCATTCGCGAGCAGAGAAATGAGCGACTCCGGCTATTCATACGAGACAACCATGGGATGGGTTAGGAGTGCTTGAGGCGGGCGGTGAGTGCCTCGTGGCCGTTTCGGCGCGCTATCGAACTAAATAATTTTCGGCAAGATGCGATTCCTGGCACCGAAGCCTACGTTCTGTGCATGGTTCAGTGTACTGCTGCCGCTCGCAAAAACCGACATGCGCAACCCCGGCGTACATTATCTGAACGCCATCCGCCCTACGGCACCCGTGTGCTTTTCTGCCGCGGCAATCTTTGCTTTGGCGGCATGGATTTTCTAGTGACTAGCATTGCGGCGGCTCTCACGGTTGCTTTTTCTACCGCCACGAGAAGCAGCATGCCGGCGCAGACTACGAGCGGCAAAGTCGGTCTCAGCGCAGGTACGGTAAGATTCCTCTAAGCAAAATGAAGCTGTTCATAGTCTAAGTCGATTATTTTTGTCTTCGTTCTATGTTCGTCTCGGAGCCCAGCATCTGATCGTGACGCGAAAGGTACGTCATTGAGGTTGACAAAGAAATGCGTTGCTGATCGTCGAGTTCGTCCAACCTTTGTCTCGCTGCTGTCCAACCCTTCGGTAGAAGAACGAGGTTCCCGATTTCCGAAGCGCTCTGCAGTGGCAAGCAGCACTGCCGCGGCGGGTTGGGAACATTGACACTCAAGGCAGGTCGACAAAAAAAAAGCATCGAGTGGCGCCCCCCGCATGAAACTCCCCGCTCGAGGAGCGCCGCTCGAGGAGCGGGGGTCTGATGAAATGCGAGTGCCTGTAGACCAAACCGTTGAGTGAGTTATCGTGATCTAGTTGAGCCAGGCGGGGTATGCACTCCCGGGGATGTCGGCTGCCGTGGAGACACGGACGAGGCCAACTTCTGCGCGTTCGAAGACAGCTTCGACATCTTGGTGCTGGTTGTGGTGAGAGCTCGTCGAGTGTGGCGTCCTCGCGCGACCCAGCCAATGAAACCTTACCGTCTTTGCTGACCTTATCCCAACGTCCACCAGGACCTCACAGTGCTTTGTTCGCGTTGGCATACGTTTGTTGGTTTCCATGAACGTGAAAATTCACTTCAACAGCAGTAGTTGACACCGGCCCAAGCAAAAAATTCAATCGCTGCCCCCTTTCGCGTGTCCCGTCGCGTTTTCAATCAAATCTTGCGCACGCTGTGGTTCGCCGCGATCTTGTTGGGAGTGACTGCAACCGCCGTCCTCGTCTGGGTCAGGGAGAGGCGACTTTCTTTCCTTGCAGGAGAGTATTTTCAGTTCACCTTACTGCTGTAGTCTTGGCATGACAACCAAAACACATTTAGTTGAAGTAGGACGGAAAAGTAGCCCTGCCAGCCAGTGATGCTGACATCAAGCAACACCCTCCGACTAGCACAAGATGTGGGTGGCATCATTGACGAAACGTGGAATATTTTGCTCAGGTTCGTTTGAGTCCGGGCATTGTGGAGCTAAATCGTGTGCTGCCTCAAACGTTTGGGAAACAGCTGATTGCTCGTCGTCTTCGCACTCACGACAGCCGACGGTGGCACTGGAGTGACGTAGAAGGCACGGGAGCTAAGCCCATGCAAATACGAGCAATAGATCTTCTGCGATTCTAGGGGGAGTGTACAAGTAGAGACCGGTCGATGAATTACGGCTTGACCAGAACACATAGTTTTTCTGTTGTGGCGACGAGGAGGAAGCATGCAAGCGTAACGTAGAAGGGGGCAGGAATTCATTATTTTGGAAGATTGGAAGAGCCTGAGAGGCAAATCTAAGAGTACAGGGGAAGGCGAACAGTGCAGAGCACTGAACAACCCCGGAGGGGCATTCACCACACGTCGGAAAGGTCGGCAGGCCTAGGCGGGGATATACATGGACACTTGGCCACTACACAAGACGCAAAACGGAACCTCATCTGATACCACGCCCTCCTCTCAGGGTATCCCCCCCCTCTTCTCGCAAATCCTGTCTCTCGTTACTTACTCAGAAGCTGCTAACGATCGAAAATACTCGGAGGTTTATATCCGCATCCAGGTGCACATCACCCAACGCACAAACGACGGCGATCCCACGACAAATTCAAGCAGGCCGACAAGCGAGAGCTCCCGCTTCACGCTCAATCAAGCCTGTCTTAAAAGACTATGCGGTGATAAACAAGAGTTTGTAAAAACAAACGACACAGCTACGATAGGAAAAGAAAGCATAACAAAAAAAACAATCGGGCACGACGAAGGGGTACAGTCTAGTACCATCGGGCGCAAACAAAAGGGCTACGAAACTCGCCGCTTACGGGTAGAGTCGGATGTGCTCTCCCCGACTTCATGTTAGATCGGTGTTTGCCCTCACCGAGAAAGATGATTGGCGACTTTCATAAAAGACACCTCCTCCCCGAACGATTTATCATCTTCCACCATACCCCATTTTATACGTGTAAGCCTTCTTTGGCCTGCGTGCACCCTCTACTACAGTACATCTATTCCACCATCTGCCCCGTTTAGTTCAGTCCCAACCGAAAGCAGTGCTGCAAACAAGCCTACCTTCCCACCCCGTCAGCAAGTTGATTTGTCGACCGTGGTCGAAGGTAAGATGGTCAGGAGTTCATCCAGTAATAATTCCGGTCTGCGAGTCGGCGGCACCGGCCGTGACCTTGTNCAAGCCTACCTTCCCACCCCGTCAGCAAGTTGATTTGTCGACCGTGGTCGAAGGTAAGATGGTCAGGAGTTCATCCAGTAATTCCGATCTGCGAGTCGGCGGCACCGGCCGTGACCTTGCGCGAGCGGGAACCACCGCCACCACAGGGGCCGGGCAGCACCTGCCCCCTCCCTCCGCCCCCTCCGGTACCCTGGCGAGCAGCGTCGACGCTCTCCACCTCAGGCCTACGGAAAACGCCGTCCCGGCGACCCAAACCGCGGCAAGCCGCCTGGCTCGCACGCACTGAAGAAACAGAATACGCGGGGGTGAAGCACTGGCGATTGGAACGAAGGGAAGCCTGATGAGTCGGGGAAAATTGAACTGTGCCGGGGTAGATTTCAATGAGGGCCCTTCAAGAAGGCGTGCACCCTCGTCGAGAAGGGCGGAGCAATGCCTTAGACCCCTAATATCTTTCCTTGGCAATAGGAACCATCAACGTTTGTTGGATTCAACGAATCCTTCTGCTGCAGATATGCGAAGATAAAACAAGCGTGTGTGACGCTGGCACAAATAAGCAACGAGGCATGAATCAGAACACCCGAGATGCTTACCGGCATACAGATTGACGGTTCTCCAGTCCCACAAGGCCAGTCGGAGCAAAATTTGTTTGTGGTGTCCCCGTCACAGCCAATACGTACGTCGGCGAGCAGGAAGGATCAATCAATGCCGTAGACCGCTCCGGCACACAATCTAGGATGGAGGGCGATATGCCTGCAACGTTCAAGAAACAAAGCATCAACGTCAGGGATTGAATGATCAGGCCTCGGAGGCGAGCCATTCGGAGCTACTCTCAAAGATTAGACGCTCATGCAGGGTCGGCGATCCGGCGTACGACGAAAGTATTTCTTTTCTCTACAATAATGACTGCCGCCCTGTGGTCGAACACATGAGTTGCAATACCCCATAAGAATAAGTTCTAGTACATGGTCTCGGATGGGGGGAAGGGGGGGGGGTGGTCACTCCTAGACGTTGTTTCGGGGGCAAGAAGACCCGGCAGAGGGGGAGTTCTACGTTTTTTTCTTGACATCACCAAACAGTCGACAGCGTTTATATCTACTTTCCTCTATNTGTTTCGGGGGCAAGAAGACCCGGCAGAGGGGGAGTTCTACGTTTTTTTCATCACCAAACAGTCGACAGCGTTTATATCTACTTTCCTCTACGAGTCTTCTGCAGACAGGGGTAAGGGCTATGTGGAGTCGTCCATCCCTTCTGACATCCACCTTTCTTGCTCAGCTCCTCGCAGTATTTCGTTGTGCTCACTTTTCCTCTTCCTCGTCCCTTGTACATACTCCCACCCCGCACGTTTGGGTCGCCAGTCAAAGCAGTAGCGTGTCTCTCTGTGGGTCCCGCTTTCCCTCGGGCTTGTTCCAACTTTTCCCGAGGAAATGACGAGTCCCAAGTACTTGTAGTTCTGCTTTTGTGTCGACTCTATGGCCGGTCGTCATCCTGGCACCTTGCCTACTGCATGTTCAGCTCTTCTTCCTTGCTTGTCCTTCAAGTTGGAGGTGGAGACTGACATGGGTGGCATTTCCAGCCGCCGCACAACCTCCGCTTCCTCTACCTATGGCATATTTGATCAAAACATCGATATGTACCGTTTGATCCTGGTACCTTGTAAATGAATGTCGCCTGCTTAGATCCAGCAGTCCCCTAAATAGTCCCAATAGCAGTCTTGAGGACGTTTTCGACGGTGGTGCTACTCCTAGCGTACGCATACTGGGAACATGTCGGTCCTCCTGCACCGGTTT